TTCAATCTTGAATTTTTAATGGATCCTGGCCTGGTTTTTATGGCAAATCCCAGGATTTTGAGCATTTCCTGCCTGGTTTTTATGGAAAATTCTGAATTTTTAATGGATCCTGGCCTGGTTTCTATGGCAAATTTTGGGATTTTTAGCAGTTCCTGGCTGGTTTTTATGGGAAATTCTGAATTTTTCAATCTTTATTTTTTTAAAATAATCTTGAATTTTTTACCAGATCCTGGTTGGGCTTTTATAGAAAATTCTGGCATTTTTAATCTTAAATTTTTACCAGATCCCAGCTGGTTTTTGGGGCAAATTCTGGGATTTTTAATCTTGAATTTTTACCAGATCCCAGCTGGTTTTTATAGAAAATTCTGGGATTTTTAATCTTAAATTTTCACCAGATCCTGGCTGAGTTTTTGAGCAAATTCTGGGATTTTTAATTTTAATTTTTAATCTTGAATTTTTAATGGATCCTGGTTGGGTTTTATGGCAAATCCCAGGATTTTGAGCAGCTCCTGCCTGGTTTGTATGGAAAATTCTGAATTTTTACTGGATCCAGGTTGGGTTTTTATGGAAAATTTTGGGATTTTTACCAGCTCCTGGCTGGGTTTTATGGCAAATTTTGGGATTTTGAGCATTTCCTGCCTGGTTTTTATGGCAAATTCTGAATTTTAAATGGATCTGGGCCTGGTTTTTATGGCAAATTTTGGGATTTTGAGCATTTCCAGGCTGGTTTTTGATGGAAATTTCCAGAATCTGCACTCACACTGGTGACTTTCCTCTCGATGCTCTCCAGGAGCTGCTCCTGGCCTGGCTTTGATGGAAAATTCTGAATTTTTAATGGATCCTGGTTGGGTTTTTGGGGCAAATTTTGGGATTTTTAATCTTAAATTTTCACCAGATCCTGGTTGGGTTTTTGGGGCAAATTCTGGGATTTTTAATCTTGAATTTTTACCAGATCCTGACCGAGTTTAATGGAAAATCCTGGGATTTTTACCAGATCCTGACTGGATTTTTATGGAAAATTCTGGGATTTTTAATCCTGAATTTTTACCAGATCCTGGCAGAGTTTTGAGGCAAATTCTGGAATTATAAATCTTGAATTTCGACCTGATCCTGGTTGGGTTTTATGGAAAATTCTGGAACTTTTAATCTTTAGTTTTTACCAGATCCCAGCTGGTATTTCGGGCAAATTTTGGGATTTTTAATCTTCAATTTTTACCAGATCCCAGCTGACTTTTTATGGAAAATTCTGGGATTTTCAATCTTGAGTTTTTAAAAGATGTTGGCCAGTTTTGTATGGAAAATTCTGAATTTTTAATCTTGAATTTTTACCAGATCCTGGTTGGGTTTTTATGGGAAATTCTGGGATTTTTAATCTTGAATTGTTACCAGCTCCAGGCTGAGTTTTGAGGCAAATTCTGGGATTTTCAATCTTTATTTTTTAATCTTGAATTTTTACCAGATCCTGCCTGGTTTTGATGGCAAATTCTGAATTTTTAATGGATCCTGGTTGGGTTTTATGGCAAATTTTGGGATTTTGAGCATTTCCAGGCTGGTTTTTCCCAGAAATTTCCAGAATCTGCACTCCCACTGCTGCCTTTCCTCTTGATGTTCTCCAGCAGCTGCTCCTGGCAAATTTTGAATTTTTAATCTTGAATTTTTAACAAATCCTGGCTGAGTTTTGGGACAAATTCTGGGATTTTTAATGGATCCTGCCAGGTTTTTATGGAAAATTTTGGGATTTTGAGCATTTCCTGGTTGGTTTTTATGGCAAATTTTGGGATTTTGAGCATTTCCAGGCTGTTTTTTGATGGAAATTTCCAGAATCTGCACTCACACTGGTGACTTTCAATGCTCTCCAGCAGCTGCTCCTGGCCTGGGTTTGATGGAAAATTCTGAATTTTTAATGGATCCAGGCCTGGTTTTTATGGCAAATTTTGGGATTTTTAATCTTAAATTTTCACCAGATCCTGGTTGGGTTTTTGGGGCAAATTCTGGGATTTTTAATCTTGAATTTTTACCAGATCCTGGCTGAGTTTAATGGAAAATCCTGGGATTTTTACCAGATCCTGATTGGGTTTTTATGGAAAATTCTGGGGTTTTTAATCTTGAATTTTTACCAGATCCTGGCGGAGTTTTGAGGCAAATTCTGGGATTTTCAATCTTTATTTTCTAATCTTGGATTTTTACCAGATCCCAGCTGGTTTTTATGGCAAATTCTGAATTTTTAATGGATCCTGGTTGGGTTTTATGGCAAATCCCAGGATTTTGAGCAATCCCTGGTTTTTATGGAAAATTCTGGGATTTTTAATCTTAAATGGTCACCAGATCCTGGCTGAGTTTTTGAGGCAAATTCTGGGATTTTTAATTTTAATTTTCAATCTTGAATTTTTAATGGATCCTGGCTGGGTTTTATGGCAAATCCCAGGATTTTGAGCAATCCCTGGTTTTTATGGCAAATTCTGGGATTTTTAATCTTGAATTTTTACCAGATCCTGGCGGAGTTTTATGGAAAATCCCAGGATTTCAAGCAGTTCCTGGCCTGGTTTCTATGGCAAATTCTGAATTTTTAATCTTGAATTTTTACCAGATCCTGGCTGAATTTTGAGGCAAATTCTGGGATTTTCAATCTTTATTTTCTAATCTTGGATTTTTACCAGATCCCAGTTGGTTTTTATAGAAAATTCTGGGATTTTAAATTTTTAATTTTCACCAGATCCTGGCTGAGTTTTTGAGGCAAATTCTGGGATTTTTAATTTTAATTTTTAATCTTGAATTTTTACCAGATCCTGCCTGGTTTTTATGGAAAATTCTGAATTTTTAATGGATCCTGGTTGGTTTTTATGGCAAATCCCAGGATTTTGAGCAGCTCCAGACTGGTTTTTATGGAAAATTCTGAATTTTTAATCTTCAATTTTCACCAGATCCTGGCTGGTTTTTGGGGCAAAATCTGGGGTTTTTAATCTTGAATTTTAAATATTTAATTTTTCCCAGATCCTGGCTGGGTTTTATGGGAAATTCTGGGATTTTCAATCTTTATTTTTTTTAAAAATAATCTTGAATTTTTACCAGGTCCCAGCTGGTTTTTATGGAAAATTCTGGGATTTTTAATCTTAAATGGTCACCAGATCCTGGCTGAGTTTTTGAGGCAAATTCTGGGATTTTTAATTTTAATTTTTAATCTTGAATTTTTAATGGATCCTGGTTGGGTTTTATGGCAAATCCCAGGATTTTGAGCAATCCCTGGCCTGGCTTATTATGGCAAATTCTGAATTTTTAATCTTGAATTTTTACCAGATCCTGGTTGGGTTTTATGGGAAATTCTGGGATTTTTAATCTTAAAATTTTAATATTTAATTTTTACCAGATCCTTGTTGGGTTTTATGGAAAACTCTGGGATTTTCAATCTTGAATTTTTAATATTTAATTTTTACCTGATCCTGGTTGGGTTTTTATGGCAAATTCTGGGATTTTCAATCTTGAATTTTTAAAAGACATTGCCCAGTTTTGTATGGAAAATTCTGAATTTTTAATGTATCCTTCCTGGTTTTGGGGGCAAATTCTGGGGTTTTAATTTTAATTTTTAATCTTGAATTTTTAATGGATCCTGGTTGGGTTTTATGGAAAATCCCAGGATTTTGACCAGCTCCTGGCTGGTTTGTATGGAAAATTCTGAATTTTTAATGGATCCGGGCCTGGTTTTTATGGCAAATTTTGGGATTTTTAATCTTAAATTTTCACCAGATCCTGGTTGGGTTTTTGGGGCAAATTCTGGGGTTTTTAATCTTGAATTTTTACCAAGCTCCTGGCTGAGTTTTATGGCAAATCCCAGGATTTTGAGCAGTTCCTGCCTGGTTTCTATGGAAAATTCTGAATTTTTAATGGATCCTGGTTGGTTTTTATGGCAAATCCCAGGAGCAGTTCCTGGTTGGTTTTTATGGCAAATTCTGAATTTTTCAATCTTTATTTTTTAAAAATAATCTTCAATTTTTACCTGATCCTGGTTAGGCTTTTATGGAAAATTCTGAATTTTTAATCTTGAATTTTTCCCAGATCCTGGCTGGGTTTTTATGGGAAATTCTGGGATTTTCAATCTTTATTTTTTTTAAAATAATCTTGAATTTTTACCAGGTCCCAGCTGGTTTTTATAGAAAAATCTGGAATTTTTAATCTTAAATTTCACCAGATCCTGGCTGAGTTTTTGAGCAAATTCTGGGATTTTTAATTTTAATTTTTAATCTTGAATTTTTAATGGATCCTGGTTGGTTTTTATGGCGAATCCCAGGGTTTTGAGCATTTCCTGCCTGGTTTTTATGGAAAATTCTGAATTTTTAATGGATCCTGGCCTGGTTTCTATGGCAAATTTTGGGATTTTTACCAGCTCCTGGCTGTTTTTTATGGAAATTTTGGGATTTTGAGCATTTCCAGGCTGTTTTTTGATGGAAATTTCCAGAATCTGCACTCCCACTGCTGCCTTTCCTCTCGATGCTCTCCAGCAGCTGCTCCTGGCCTGGGTTTTATGGCAAATTCTGAATTTTTAATGGATCCTGACTGGTTTTTATGGCAAATTTTGGGATTTGAGCAGTTCCTGGCTGGTTTCTATGGAAAATTCTGAATTTTTAATGGATCCTGGCCTGGTTTTTATGGCAAATTTTGGGATTTTGAGCATTTCCTGCCTGGTTTTTATGGAAATTTTTGGGATTTTGAGCATTTCCAGGCTGTTTTTTGATGGAAATTCCAGAATCTGCACTCACACTGGTGACTTTCCTCTTGATGCTCTCCAGCAGCTGCTCCTGCCCTGGTTTCTATAGAAAATTCTGAATTTTTAATGGATCCTGGTTGGGTTTTATGGCAAATTTTGGGGTTTTTTACCAGCTCCTGGTCTGGTTTTTATGGCAAAATCTGAATTTTTAATGATCCTGGCCTGGTTTTTATGGCAAATTTTGGGATTTTGAGCATTTCCAGGCTGTTTTTTGATGGAAATTCCCAGAATCTGCACTCACACTGGTGACTTTCCTCTTGATGTTCTCCAGCAGCTGCTCCTGCCCCCGCAGGAAGAACGGGTGCTGGAATTCGGTGTCGTCCTTGTCCGGCTTCACCAGCCCCCCCTGCTCGATGTGCACAACCTTCCTGAAACCGTCTGAAATGGGGGAAAATGGGGGGAAATAGGGGGGTTAAATGGGGTAAATAAATGGGGAAAATAGGGGGAAAATATGGGGGAAATATGGGGTAAATATGGGGGAAATATTGGGGAAAATATGGGGGAAATAGGGGTAAATATGGGGGGAATATTGGGGGAAATATGGGGGAAATAGGGGGAAATATGGGGGAATATTGGGGAAATATGGGGGGAATATTGGGGGAAATATGGGGGAAATAGGGGGGTAAATGGGGGAAAACAGTGGGGGAAATATTGGGGGTAAATATGGGGAAATATAGGGGAAAATATGGGGGAAATATGGGGGAAAATATAGGGGAAATATGGGGAAAATATTGGGGAAAATGGGGGAAAATATGGGGGAAATATGGGGGAAATATGGGGGAAATATTGGGGAAACAGTGGGGAAATATGGGTAAATATTGGGGGAAATATGGCGGGGAAACGGGGGTGAATATGGGGGAAGTATGGGGGAAATATTGGGGGAAATATTGGGGAAAATAGGGGGGAAATATGGAGGAAATGGGGTAAATATGGGGGGAAATATGGGGGAAATATTGGGGGAAATATGGGGGGAAAATGGGGGAAAAATGGGGGAAATATTGGGTAATATTGGGGGAAATGGGAATAAATATGAGGTAAATATTGGGGGAAATATGGGGGCAAATATGGGGAAATATTGGGAGAAATATGGGGGAAATATTGGGGAATATTTGGGATAAATGGGGGGAAATATTGGGGAAAATATGGGGGAAAATGGGGGAAATATTGGGAGAAATATGGGGGAAAATAGGGGGAATATGGGGGGAAATATGGGGGAAATATTGGGGGGGAATAGGGGGAAATATGGGGGAAATATGGGGAAATATTGGGGGAAATACAGGGGTAAATGGGGGAAATATGGGGGTAAATATGGGGGAAATATTGGGGAAATATGGGGGTAAATGGGGGAAACAGTGGGGAAAATGGGGGGAAATATGGGGAAAAATATGGGGGGAATAGGGGGGAAATATTGGGGTAAATATTGGGGGAAATATGGGGGGAAAAAGGGGTAAATATGGGGGAAATATTGGAGAAATGTGGGGGTAAATATGGGGGAAATATTGGGGAAAAGGGGGTAAATCACGGGGAAATATTGGGGTAAATAGGGGGAAATATTGGGGGAAAATGGGGGTAAATATGGGGGAAAATATGGGGGAAATATTGGGGATAAATATGGGGGTAAATGGGGGAAACAGTGGGGAAAAGGGGGTAAATATGAGGTAAATATTGGGGGAAATATGGGGGAAGTATTGGGGGAATATTGGGGGAAATATGGGAGAAATATTGGGGGAAACATTGAGGGAAAATGGGGGAAATATTGGGAGAAAATGGGGGAAAACATGGGGGAAACTGGGGAAAGTGGGGTAAATATGGTAAAAATATGGGGGAAATATGGGATAAATATTGGGGAAACAGGGGGGAAATATGGGGGTAAATGGGGGAAAATATGGGGGAAATATTGAGGGAAATATTGGGGTTAATATGGTGGGGTAAATAGGGGGTAAATATGGGGAAAAATGGGGTAAATGGGGAAAATATGGCGAAATATTGGGGGAAATATGGGGAAATAGGGGATAAATATGGGGGTAAATGGGGGAAAATATGGGGGAAATATTGGGGAAATATGGGGAAAACAGTGGGGAAAAAGGGGAAAATGGGGGAAAATATGGGGGAAATATTGGGGAAAAGGGGGTAAATATGGGGTAAATATGGGAGAAATATGGGGGAAATATGGGGAAATATTGGGGAAACAGTGGGGAAATATGGGGGTAAGCAGGGGGGAAATATGGGGTAAATAGTGGGGTATATATGGGGAAATATGGGGGGAAATAAATGGGGAAAATAGGGGGGAAATATGGGGGAAACGGGGGTAAATATGGGGGAAGTATGGGGGAAATATTGGGGGAAATATTGGGGAAAATATGGGGGAAATATGGGGGAAATGGGGGAATATGGGGGAAGTATTGGGGGAAATATTGGGGAAAATATAGAGGGAAATATGGGGAAATATTGGGGGAAATTATAGAGGAAATATTGGGAAAATGGGGGGAAATGGGGGAAACATTGGGGGAAAAATGGGGGTAAATGGGGGAAAATGGGAATAAATGGGGGGAAAATGGGGAAAACATTGGGGAAACATTGGGGGAAAATGGGGAAATATTGGGGAAAATATTGGGAAAATGGGAATAAATGGAGGAAAATATGGGGGAAAATATGGGGAAAATATGGGGGAAAATGGGAGAAAATGGGGAAAAATGGGGGAAACATTGGGGAAAATGGGAATAAATGGGGGAAAATAGGGGAGAAATATTGGGGGAAAATATGGGGGGAAATGGGGAAAAATGGGGGGAAACATTGGGGAAAATGGGAATAAATGGGGGAAAATATGGGGGAAATATTGGGGGAAAATGGGGGAAAATCTGGGAAAAAATCTGGGAAAAAATCTGGGAATAAATGGGGGAAAAATACGGGAAAAAGTGTGGGAATAAATGGGGAAAAATTGGGGAAAACTGGGAAAAGTTTGGGAATAAATGGGGAAAACTGGGGAAAGTTTGGGAATAAATGGGAAAAAGGGAAAATCCGGGAATTCTGGGTTTCCCATTGATGGGAAGGGTCCATCCCAAAGGGCTCAGAATTCCCGGGGATTTGGGGATTTTGGGATTCTGGCACCACCCGGTGGCGGCTGAGGGGAAATGGGGAAAATCCGGGAATAAATGGGAATAAATCCAGGAAAAATGGGAATAAATCCAGGAAAAGGGGGCAAAAATGGGAATAAATCCGGGAAAAATGGGGAATAAATGGGAAAAATCTGGGAAAAATCTAGGAATAAATGGGAATAAATCCGGGAAAATATCCAGGAATAAATGGGAATAAATCCAGGAAAAATGGGGAAAAATGGGGAAAAATGGGAATAAATCCAGGAAAAAAAAATGGGAGCAAATGGGAATAAATCCGGGAAAAATGGGAGTAAATGGGAAAAATCCCGGAAAAATCCAGGAAAAAATGGGAATAAATCCAGGAAAAATGGGGAAAAATGGGAATAAATCCAGGAAAAATAGGAATAAATCCAGGAAAAGGGGGGAAAAATGGGAATAAATCCGGGAAAAAAATGGGAGTAAATGGGAATAAAATGGGAAAATGTCTGGGGAAAATGGAAAAAAATCTGGGGAAAATCCAGGAATAAATGGGAAAAAATGTGGGAAAAAATCCGGGAATAAATCTGGGAATAAATCCGGGAAAAAAACTGGGAAAAAAATGGGAATAAATGGGAATAAATCCAGGAATAAATGGGAAAAAAATCTGGGAATAAATGTCAATAAATGGAAAAATCTGGGAAAATGGGAATAAATCCAGTAATAAATGGGGAAAAATCTGGGAAAAATTCGGGAAAAAAATGGGAATAAATGGGGAAAAATCTGGGAAAAAATCCGGGAAAAAATCCAGGAAAAAATCCAGGAATAAATTGGGGAAAAAATCTGGAGAAAAATTTGGCAAAAAATGCAGGAAAAAATCTGCGAGACAATTGAAAAAAATTTCAGGAATAAATTGGGAAAGCTTCAGAATAAATGGGGAAAAATCGGGAATAAATGGGAAAAATCCCCAGGAAAAATGGGAAGAAATGGGAAGAAATCAGGGAAGAAATCCAGGAAAAAATGGGAAAAATTGGGAAAAAATCTGGGAATAAATGGGAATAACTGGGGAAAATCTGGGGAGCATATGGAAAAAATCTGGAAAAAATCTGGGAAAAAAATGGGGAAAATCTGGGAAAAATGGGGAAAAAATGGGAATAAATGGGGAAAAATGGGGAATAAATGGGAAAAAACCCAAGAAAAATGAGAAGAAATCAGGGAAGAAATGCAGGAAAAAAAGGGGAAAAAAAAGGGAAAAATCTGGGATAAATGGGAAAAAATGGGCAAAATTTGGGAATAAATGGGGAAAAATCTGGGAAAAAATGGGAATAAATGGGGAAAAAATGGGAAAAAATCAGGAATAAATGGGAAAAAAACCAAGAAAAATGGGAAGAAATCCAGGAAAAATGGGGAAAATTTGGGAAAAAATCTAGGAATAAATGGGAACAAATCCAGTAGTAAATGGGGAAAAATCTGGGAATAAATGGGAATAAATGGGGAAAAATCTGGGAAAAAATCTGGGAAATGAGGGAATAAATGGGGAAAAATCTGGGAAAAATATGGGGAACATATGGGAAAATTCTGGGAAAAATCCAGGAAAAATGGGAAAAAAATCGGGAATAAATGGGAAAAAACCCAAGAAAAATGGGAAGAAATCCAGAAAAATGGGAAAAAATTGGGAAAAAATCTGGGAATAAATGAAAAAAAAAAAAAAAGGAATAAATCTGGAAAAAATTCCGGAATTTTTACTCCCCAGGACTCTCCCCATTTTTTCCCAATTTTTTCCCATTTTTCCCAATTTTTCCCATTTTTCCCCATTTATTCCAGATTTTTCCCATTTATTCCCAATTTTTTCCTGCTTTTTTCCCCATTTATTCCCAGATTTTTCCCATTTTATCCATTCCCATTCCTTCCCCAATTATTTCCCATTTTTTCCTATTTATTCCCAGTTTTTTTCCCCATTTATTCCCAGATTTTTTCTCATTTATTGCTGGATTTTTCCCCATTTATTCCCATTTTTTCATGGATTTTTTCCAATTTTTTTCCCATTTATTTCTGGATTTTTCCCCATTTATTCCCATTTTTTCATGGATTTTTTCCAATTTTTTTCCCATTTATTCCTGGATTTTTCCCATTTATTCCTGGATTTTTTTCTGGGAATAAATGGGAAAAAATCCAGGAAAAATGGAAAAAAAAAAAAAAGGGAAAAAATGGGAATAAACAGGGGAAAAATGAGAAATTTTTTTCCTGGGTTTCTTCTCATTTATTCCCAGATTTATTCCCAGATTTTTTCCCATTTTTTCCTGCTTTTTTCCCATTTAATCCCAGTTTTTCCCCCATTTATTCCCAGATTTTTACCCATTTTATCCATTCTTGGATTTATTCCCATTTCTTCCCCATTTTTTCCCATTTATTCCCCAATTTTTCCCCATTTATTCCCAGATTTTTTTCTCATTTATTTCCGGATTTTTACCCATTTTTTCCCCATTTTTTCATGAATTTTTTCCCATTTTTTTCCCCATTTATTCCTGGATTTTCCCCCATTTATTCCCATTTTTTCACGGATTTTTTCCCATTTTTTTCCCATTTAATCCAGATTTTTCCCCATTTATTCCAATTTTTTCATGGATTTTTTCCCATTTATTCCTGGATTTTTTTCTGGGAATAAATGGGAAAAATCCAGGAATAAATGGGAAAAATGGAAAAAAATGGGAATAAATGGAAAAAATGAGAAATTTTTTTCCTGGATTTCTCCCCATTTATTCCCAGATTTATTCCCAGATTTTTCCCCATTTTTTCCTGTTTTTTTTTTCCCCATTTAATCCCAGTTTTTCCCCCATTTATTCCCAGATTTTTACCCATTTTTTTCCCCTTTTTTTTTCCATTTTTCCCATTTATTCCTGGATTTTTCCCATTTATTCCCATTTATTCCCCAATTTTTCCCCCCATTTAATCCCAGATTTTTTCTCATTTATTTCCGAATTTTTCCCCATTTATTCCCATTTTTTTCAAGGACTTTTTCCCATTTTTTCCCCATTTTTCCCAGATTTTTTCTGGGAATAAATGGGGAAAAATGGGAAAAATCTGGGAATAAATGGGAAAAAATGGAATTTTTTTCCTGGATTTTTCCCAGATTTATTCCCAGATTTTCCCCATTTATTTCTGGATTTTTTTGCCATTTATGCCCAGATTTTCCCCCATTTATTCCCAGATTTATTCCCAGATTTTTTTCTCTTTTTTTTTTTTTTTCCATTTTATCCCTGGATTTTTCCCATTTATTCCCAAATTTTCCCCATTTATTCCAATTTTTTTCACATTTTCCCCGCATTTTCCCATTTATTCCCAGATTTTTTTTCTCCTTTATTCCCAGATTTATTCCCAGATTTTTTTCCCATTTATTCCCATTCTTTTCTATTTTATTCCCAAATTTCTTCCCATTTATTCCCAATTTTTCTTATTTATTCCCAAATTTTTCCCCATTTATTCCAATTTTTTTCCCATTTTTTCCCCACATTTTTCCCATTTGTTCCCAGTTTTTTTTTTTTTTTTCATTTATTCCCAGATTTTTCCACATTTTTCCCTGGATTTTTTCCCATTTATTCCCAGATTTTTCCCATATTTGTTTCCCAGATTTTTTTGGAATTTTCACTCACACACATTGAGCTGTCTGACCAAGCTGATTCCCCAATTCCCATTTATTCCCAGATTTTGCCCAGAATTCCCGGATTTTTCCCTGTTTTCCCATCCATACTCACACATGTTGAGCTGCCTGACAAAGCTGATTCCCAAATTCCCATTTATTCCCAATATTCCATGGTTTTTTTTCCATGTTTTTCAGGAATACTCACACTATATCAGCTGCCTGACAAAGCTGATTCCCAAAATCCCAGATTTTGCCCAGAATTCCCAGATTTTTCCATGTTTTTTCCATGGTTTTTAGCCATACTCACACACATTGAGCTGTCTCACAAAGCTGATTCCCCAATTCCCAATATTCCATGTTTTTCCCAGATTTTTCCATGTTTTTTCAGGAATACTCCCACATATTCAGCTGTCTAACAAAGCTGAATCCCAGACTCCCATTTATTCCCAGATTTATTCCCAATATTCCATGTTTTTTTCATGTTTTTCCTATGTTTTTTCCCTGTTTTTCCAGGAATACTCACACATGTTGAGCTGCCTGACAAAGCTGATTCCCAGAATTCCCAAATTCCCAGATTTATTCCCAATATTCCATGTTTTTTCCATCCATACTCACACATATTCAGCTGTCTCACAAAGCTGATTCCCAATTTCCCATTTATTCCCATTTATTCCATGTTTTTTCCATCCATACTCACACACATTCAGCTGCCTGACAACGCTGATTCCCCAATTCCCAGATTTATTCCCATTTATTCCATGTTTTTCCAGGAATACTCACACATGTTCAGCTGCCTGACGAAGCTGATTCCCAAATTCCCATTTATTCCCAGAATTCCCAGAATTTTCCTGGATTTTCCCAGCTTTTTTCCCCATACTCACACACATTGAGCTGTCTGACAAAGCTGATTCCCAAATTCCATTTATTCCCATTTATTCCCAGATTTTTCCATGTTTTCCCATCCATACTCACACATATTCAGCTGCCTCACAAAGCTGATTCCCAGAATTCCCCAATTCCCAGATTTATTCCCAATATTCCATGTTTTTCCAGGAATACTCACACATATTCAGCTGCCTCACAAAGCTGATTCCCAAATTCCCATTTATTCCCAGATTTATTCCCAATATTCCATGTTTTTCCAGGAATACTCACACATATTGAGCTGTCTCACAAAGCTGATTCCCAAATTCCCATTTATTCCCAGATTTTGCCCAGAATTCCATGTTTTTTCCCTGTTTTTTCCATCCATACTCACACATATTCAGCTGTCTGAAAAAGCTGATTCCCCAATTCCCAGATTTTGCCCAGAATTCCCGGATTTTTCCATGTTTTTTCTGGAATTTTCACCCATACTCACACATATTCAGCTGCCTGACAAAGCTGATTCCCATTTATTCCCATTTATTCCCATATTTTTCCCTGTTTTTCCACCCATACTCACACATGTTGAGCTGCCTCACAAAGCTGATTCCCCAATTCTCAGATTTATTCCCAATATTCCATGTTTTTTCAGGAATTTTCACCCATACTCACACATGTTGAGCTGTCTGACAAAGCTGATTCCCCAATTCCCAGATTTTGCCCAGAATTCCCGGATTTTTCCATGTTTTTCCAGGAATACTCCCACATGTTGAGCTGCCTGACAAAGCTGATTCCCCAATTCCCAGATTTATTCCAATATTCCATGTTTTTTCAGGAATTTTCACCCATACTCACACATGTTGAGCTGTCTGACAAAGCTGATTCCCCAATTCCCATTTATTCCCAGATTTTGCCCAGAATTCCCGGATTTTTCCCTGTTTTTCCATCCATACTCACACATATTCAGCTGTCTGACAAAGCTGATTCCCCAATTCCCAGATTTTGCCCAGAATTCCCGGATTTTTCCATGTTTTTCCAGGAATACTCCCACATGTTGAGCTGTCTCACAAAGCTGATTCCCCAATTCCCAGATTTTGCCCAGAATTCATGGATTTTTCCATGTTTTTCCAGGAATACTCACACATGTTCAGCTGCCTCACAAAGCTGATTCCCCAATTCCCAGATTTTGCCCAGAATTCCCGGATTTTTCCATGTTTTTTCAGGAATACTCACACATATTCAGCTGCCTCACAAAGCTGATTCCCAGAATTCCCAAATTCCCAGATTTATCCAATATTCCATGTTTTTCCAGGAATACTCACACATATTCAGCTGTCTGACAAAGCTGATTCACATTTATTCCCATTTATTCCATGTTTTTTCCATGTTTTTCCCTGTTTTTCCAGGAATACTCACACATATTCAGCTGTCTGACAAAGCTGATTCCCCAATTCCCAGATTTTGCCCAGAATTCCCGGATTTTTCCATGTTTTTTTAGGAATACTCACACATATTCAGCTGCCTCACAAAGCTGGCCATGTTGTTGTGTTTGAAGTACTTGGGCAGCACCTCCTTGGAGAACTGGCCCTGGTCAAACACGTGGAAGCTGCTCCCGCTCTGCACCAGAAATGGGGGAAAAACACAAATTTGGGCAATTTTAAAAATATTTCAGGGATTTTGGGGAATTTTTGGGGATTTTTGAGGAATTTTCTGGATTTTTTGGGGATTTTTCTGGGATTTTTTGGGGAATTTTGGGCCCTTTTCCAGAACTGGCCCTGGTCCCACACGTGGAAGCTGCTCCCGCTCTGCACCAGAAATGGGGGAAAAACCACAAATTTGGGCAATTTGGAAAAAGATTTTGGGATTTTTGGGGAATTTTTGGGGATTTTCTGGGATTTTCTGGGATTTTCAGGAACTGGCCCTGGTCCCACACGTGGAAGCTGCTCCCGCTCTGCGCCAGAAATGGGGAAAAAACCCAAAAATTTGGGAAATTTGGAGAAATATTTTGCGGATTTTGGGGAATTTTTGGAGAATTTTGGGATTTTTGGGGAATTTTCGGGGATTTTTTGGGGAATTTTTGGGGAATTTTTGGGGTTTTTTTATGGATTTTCAGGAACTGGCCCTGGTCCCACACGCAGAAGCTGCTCCCGCTCTGCACCAAAAAATGGGCAAAAACCAGAAATTTGGGAACCTCTAAAAGTATTTTGGGGAAATTGGGGATTTTTAGGGATTTTTGGGGAATTTTTAGGGAATTTTGAGGAATTTTCGGGGACTTTTTTGGGATTTTCGGGGATTTTTTGGGGAATTTTTGGGCTTTTCCAGAACTGGCCCTGGTCCCACACGTGGAAGCTGCTCCCGCTCTGCGCCAAAAATGGGAAGAAAACCACAAATTTGGGCAAGGTTGGAAAAGATATCAGGGATTTTTGAGGAATTTTTGGAAAATTTTGGGATTTTTTAGGGATTTTTGAGGAATTTTTGGGGATTTTGTGGGGAATTTTTGGGGAATTTTGTGGGATTTTTGGGCCTTTTCAGGGATTTTCAGGAACTGGCCCTGGTCCCACACATGGAAGCTGCTCCGCTCTGCACCAAACATGGGGAAAAACCACAAATTTTGGGAATTTTCTAAAATATTTTGGGGAATTTTTTGAGAATTTTGGGATTTTTTAGGGATTTTTGAGGAATTTTGGGGGATTTTGTGGGGAATTCTTGGGGAATTTTTGGGGTTTTTTATGATTTTCAGGAACTGGCCCTGGTCCCACACGTGGAAGCTGCTCCCGCTCTGCGCCAAACATGGGGAAAAAACAGAAATTTGGGCAAGGTTGAAAAGGATTTTGGGGATTTTTGGGGAATTTTTAGGGATATTTTGGGAATTTTTGGGAATTTTTTGGGGATTTTCTGGGACTTTTTGGGGAATATTCCAGAGAATTTTTGGGCCTTTTCAGGGCTTTTGCAGAACTGGCCCTGGTCCCACATGTGGAAGCTGCTCCTGCTCTGTGCCAAACATGGGGAAAAAACAGAAATTTAGGCAATTTTTAAAAATATTTTGGGGATTTTAGGGAATTTTTGGGGATTTTTAGGGAATTTTTGAGGAATTTTCTGGGGAATTTTGTGGGATTTTTGGGCCTTTTCAGGGATTTTCTGGAACTGGGCCTGGTCCCACACGTGGAAGCTGCTCCCGCTCTGCACCAAACATGGGGTAAAAACCACAAATTTGGGGAATTTTAAAAAATATTTTGGGGATTTTTGGGGAATTTTAGGAAAACTTTGGGATTTTTTAGGGATTTTGGAGGAATTTTTGGGGATGTTTTGGGGGAATTTTCTGGGATTTTTGGGCCTTTTCAGGGATTTTCAGGAACTGGCCCTGGTCCCACACGTGGAAGCTGCTCCTGATCTGCACCAAAAATGGAGAAAACCAGAAATTTTAGGCAATTTTAAAATATTTTGGGGATTTTTGGGGAATTTTAGGAGATTTTTTGGGATTTTTGGGGAATTTTCTGGGATTTTTTTGGAATTTTTGGGATTTTTTGGGAATTTTTTGAATTATTTTTAGAATTTTTGGGGAATTTCTGCAATGTTTTGGAACAGTTTTGGAAT